CCCATAACCCCTCTTCATCTTCCCATCACTCCTTTTCGTCTCCCATCACTCCTCTTCATCTTCCCATTACTCCTTTTCGTCTCCCATCACTCTTTTTCATCATCCATCATGTCCTATTTTTCCTTTTTATTTCCTATCACTTCTCATTACTCTTTTTTACTCCCTTTCTTCTTCTATTACTTTCCATTACTCCATTGTTATTTCATTTTTTTTATTAGTATCTTTCTTTTTGATCATTGTCATTTACTTATCTTTTTTATTTATTGTTATTGTTTTTTTTATTGTATCACTTTATTAAAAATAAATACAGTGATTTTTTTCTTTAAAATCGAAAATGTGGGACTTAAATTTTAATAAATTTCATTTAATAAGATTATTTTGAATAAATATGTTTGCAAAAAAAAATTTTTTAAAAATATCTTCGCAATAAAATTTTGTTTAACCGATAAAAATTAGCTAAGTTAAAAAAATCTAGTCGTTTGCCGATCAAATAAATGGCCTTAACTTTTAAGTTTAAATCAAGCACTGAATCATGCTACACAATTCAAGATTATTTATACAGACTTAATCTAAACGTTAGAAGATCGACATGTATTTTTTTATTATATAGATATAGATATAGATATAGATTGAATGATAATCATTTCACTGGTGTTTAATAATTACCTAAGATGAAATGATTAACCAGTTACTGCGATTTTGTAATAATTGATATACTGTACATTCCGTTTGTTTGATATGCAATGATGCAATGCTTGTACTTGTGATCAACTCTTTTGCACATAATGCATTTTGCATAAATATTGTTACCAGACCCGTCACATGTATTAATATTGACCTATTTATTTATACTAATAAAGGCGTTTAATAATAATAATAATAAAAGAAATAAAGATATTTACTTTATCTTTTCCGATTAGTGGGAATTTTGATATAGTAATGGACCAATGTATTGGTAAAGGTAAAATCTATAACATGAATAATAATATAAATTAGAACTATTCAAAATGATTAA